CATTTCTTGTCATCAAAAAGAGCCCTAATCTGTTTATTTTTTCAGTTACACATTCTACATTGATTAAAAAAGAAAAATCAAATGTGTTTTTATTTTATACAGAAATAAATAATCTATCATCCAGATGAGAATAAAGTTAGTGTTAGTTCAAATTTTAAGGAAAACAAATATATGATCTGAAATATAGCACATTCATTTAAAATTCATTCAGGTTCAATTACCAAACATACAATCTTAATGTAATTTAAAGCAAACAATACGTTTAAAATATATGGGTTGTATGACTATTTTTTAATATAAAAAGATATATATCCAAAAAGACAAGGCCTAAAGTTTAACAAGGGTTAAACTCTTATCACTGTAACAGACACAATCACACACACAATCACACACACACACACACACAAGTCAAATCACTTACATTTTACATGCAATATTGACTTTTTTTCTGTTTCAGCAGCGAAAATAGTTAAACAAAGATCACAGCAGAACCATCGCGCATCTCACAGCAACGCGTTCTCATTACTGAATGATTCAGCATTTTGAACGAATCGGTTGACTCAAAGATTCAATGACCAATCAATCCATAAACATCTATCTCATTCATGAATGACTCAGTCGTTCAAACGAATGAATCAATGACTCGCTCATTAAGACGGTCGCCTGGCGACACCTAATGACGGTTTAGTGTTATGTTTAAAAGTATCATTCTTTCCAACGATTGTTAATTAACTCATATTTGAAACATAAGCTATATTTATATATATACATACATATACACACACATACACAAAAATAAAATAAAAACACATTTGAAACGTGTTTTCTTACTAAATTGTGAGCTGAACGAAAGTTGCAGCAAATATCAGCAACAGGAGTCAAATTTCATTAATCACGAGAGTGAAGAGCTGACTGAAAAGATGATGACGGAATAGGCTATTTTATGTAAAAACGCCTATTTAAGCGAATCTGTCATTGTACTCTTTTATTGTTGTGTTTTCCGTGAAAAATAATAGACTATTGAACTCACAATTCAAGCAATCGGCCCCCGAAATTGCACTAATTTTAGTGACACTAAAAAGTATGCGGCTGCACTGGCATTCATAATGGTGCGCGTCCATGGCGACGAGCGAGCAGAACAGAGCGAACGTTTAGTTAATTTCTACTTCCATAGGAATTCATTCGAGCGCCACCATTTCAATGTCCGTGCGGACGTCCATATTATACTTTCGCTTTCAAGTTAGTGTTTTTAAACCCCCCAGCGGGAGGTTTACACAATTTGTTTACACAATCACACGTTGATTAACCGGTGGGAAAATATTCCCATAGTAACATCCCTAATATATAAATATATATAAATTCAATAGGCCTACCTGATTTTGAACACAAGAGGGCAGTATAGCACTATATATGATTTGGATTATTATTATTTTTGACTAAACAACCATTCTGGCTGTTTTTAAACTTAAAAATAATTCTTAAATTGAAAAAAAGGAATAAAATGGGTTTAGTTCTAATATTTGTATAATTTTATATAAAAATAAATGGTGTATAATTACATTTTAGAAAGATATGAGACATGCCCTGATTCTTTTTTTGACATTATTGTCCTCGATCAGAGCCCTAATCTGTTTATTTTTTCAGTTACACATTCTACATTGATTAAAAAAGAAAAATCAAATGTGTTTTTATTTTATACAGAAATAAATAATCTATCATTCAGATGAGAATAAAGTTAGTGTTAGTTCAAATTTTAAGGAAAACAAATATATGATCTGAAATATAGCACATTCATTTATAATTCATTCAGGTTCAATTACCAAACATACAAATCTCAATGTAATTTAAAGCAAACAATACATTTAAAATACATGGGTTGTATGCTATTTTTTTTTATATAAAAAGATATATATCCAAAAAGACAAGGCCTAAACTTTAACAAGGGTTAAACAATCACTGTAACAGACACAATCACACACACACACACACACACACACACACACACACACACACACACACGTCAAATCACTTACATTTTAGATGCAATATTGACTTTTTTTTCTGTTTCAGCAGCGAAAATAGTTAAACAAAGATCACAGCAGAACCATCGAGCATCTCACAGCAACGCGTTCTCATTACTGAATGATTCAGCATTTTGAACGAATCGGTTGACTCAAAGATTCAACGACCAATCCATAATCTGTCTCATTCATGAATGACTCAGCCGTTCGAACGAATCGTTTGAACGAATGAATCAATGACTCGCTCATTAAGACGGTCGCCTGGCGACACCTAATGACGGTTTAGTGATATTAAAAGTATCATTCTTTCCAACGATTGTTAATTAACTCATATTTGAAACATAAGCTATATATATATATATATATATATATATATATATATATATATATACACACATATATATACACACACATATATATACACAAAAATAAAATAAAAACACATTTGAAGCGTGTTTGCTTACTAAATTGTGAGCGGAACGAAAGTTGCAGCAAATATCAGCAACAGGAGTCAAATTTCATTAATCACGAGAGTGAAGAGCTGACTGAAAAGATGATGACGGAATAGGCTATTTTATGTAAAAGCCCCTATTTCAGCGAATCTATCCTTGTACTCTTTTGTTGTTGTGTTTTCCGTGAAAAATAATAGACTATTGAACTCACAATTCAAGCAATCGGCCCCGTTATTGCACTAATTTTAAAGTGACACTAAAAAGTATGCGGCTGCACTGGCATTCATAATGGTGCGCGTCCATGGCGACGAGCGAGCAGAACAGAGCGAACGTTTTTTAGTTCATTCCTACTTCCATAGGAATTCCCTCGAGCGCTCTGCACGTGGCCATTATCAATGTCCCGTATTTAAAAGCTCTCGGTCCTCAGTCACATACCAAATATATGTATAATGTATATATAAATATAATTTTGGACACAAGAGGGCAGTATGGCCCTATGTATAATTTTGTGTTTAAACTAAAAGAGCCCCTCCCCCCCTCCCCACACAGACACACACGAATGGCAGGGTGCATTCTCTCTGTCAGAGGGAGAGGGAGAGAAAATTCTCAGAAACATCCACATTCAAACCAAAATATCTGACTTCCTCTTGGTCTGAGCTAATGACAGTTAATTAGAAAGTTGTCCGGCTTGATCTGAACCATATGCATACCTGTGTCTGTCGAGTTTCATGCAATTTCAAGCATGCTAAGAGTCTCAAAAGCATCAAACAAGAATATTAAAGTTTGATGTGTTGCCACGGCAACAGTATCTAAGATATCAATAATCCTTTCACAGGTCTACATCTGGCGTGTGTTTACATTATACACATAAAGTTTGAAGCAAATCGGGTAAAAATAAGAGGGTGATTTCAAAGCATTTAGGAAGTGACACACTTCCTGCTGCCAGTTGGTGGCGCTATAATTTTGACTCACAATAGTCACATCCATGTGATCGGCCTCTTACAACGAACACACTGTTGAAGTTTCATCAAGATCAGTTAATGTATGCAGTAGTTATGACACACTTCCTGTTTCACGTTTCTCGCCATAATTTTGTTTCCTCGCCACGGCCAAACCGTTCGAGATATCAAAAATCCCCTCGCAAACTTTCATCCTCAATGTCTTGACTTCATGCTGACCGAGTTTCGTGCCGTTTGTTTGAATTCTCTAGGAGGAGTATTTCACATTCCATTGCGTGTGTTTTACCAACAACCCTAAATAGCCCACTTCCTGTTGGGCTGGGGTAAAAAGTAAGAGTGTGAAGTATATATGAAACGAGGAGATCTACATGTGTACCGAGTTTCATATTATTACATGCAAGCGTGTTTGATTTATGGACCATGTTTTCGGACCCCGTTCCAGGGGGCGCTGTCGAGCCCCCCTGCCACGCCCGGGTACCATCTTCAGCCCGGCCCTGATGGCCGCGGGTTCTGACATGTGTGCAAAGTTTCAGGAGTTTTTGAGCATGTTAAGGCCTCCAAAAGTGTCCAAAAGGTAGCAGAAAAATAATAAGAAGAATAATAAATAATCCTAAGGAAAACAATAGGGCCTTCGCCCTTTGGGCTTGGGCCCTAATAATCCTAAGGAAAACAATAGGGCCTTCGCCCTTTGGGCTTGGGCCCTAATAATCCTAAGGAAAACAATAGGGCCTTCGCCCTTTGGGCTTGGGCCCTAATAATCCTAAGGAAAACAATAGGGCCTTCGCCTTTTCAAGGCTTGGGCCCTAATAATAATCCTAAGGAAAACAATAGGGCCTTCGCCTTTTCAAGGCTTGGGCCCTAATAATAATAATTTTAAACCACCAGTAGGTTACAGTCACTGTTAATGAGTGAGTCATTGAGTTTCAACCGATTCATTCAAACGGCTGATTCATTCAGGAACGAAGCATTTGACTCTCTTAATGAGTGAGTCATTGAATCATTTGTTCAAACGATTCGTTCATTCATCGCCGTGTGTCGTTCAGAGACGCAAAAACAGGCAATATTGTGTTTTATTGTGTCTTCTTGCTTATTGAACTGTTGTATAAAGTCAGTATCACATATGTAATCATGCTGATATTTGGAGAAAAAACGGCACTCGTCATGTGATATTGATGAACTATATTAAATTATATAAATATAAAGACATACAGAGGTTTTTTGTCCCCTTATCTTGAATATTGGGTGCATTCTGAATCCTTTTTAATAGACTAAATCACACAGTGAAAGTGTGCACTAACCTCTAACCTACTAGATTACATCACATAAGGTATGCATGCAACTCTATGTGTGTTTTTGTAAAGTGAAGGACATGCTCGATAATTTCAGATTGTACATCGTTAAAACAAAAATCACGATATTATTTTAGACGATATATATCGCACAGCCTTATCGACTACATCAACACAAACATGAGGCCTGCGATCGGCGCAGATTCCCTGATTCAGTGTGAATCTTTCAGTGATGTTTCTCCCCGACACATGGTTTCTGATCATGAATGCTGTGGTCACCTCTTCCTCCTCGCGGCTGGCCTCTTCCTCTTGTTCCTCCTCCTCTTCCTCGTCATCATCCTCACTGCTTGAGCTTTCATCCTTCACCTCCGTCCTCCACGCGTTGGGCACAGTGCCGTTACGCTGAAAGTCCCACGCTGCATCTAACGCTGTGAAACACACAAACACAGACAGTGAGATTATAATGTGTTCAAAGGGAAATTTCTTGTTCAGTGTGTCATTTTTTTTTATTTTATTTTTTCACTTTTAAAAAACGTTCCCCAGTAGAGCGCAACAGTTGTCATCCATCCGTTCAGCTCCCGGCTTCCGGAAGTATTTTTAAAAAAATATAATTTTAGTGAAAACCAGTGATTTTAATTTCAGTTAAATTGTATTTTTTTTTTTTTGTCTATTCAGTATTAGTTATTTCAGTACTTCAAGTAAAAGTAAATGAAAATTAGCAACTAGTTTAAATAAAATACGTTCTTAATTTATTTTATTTTGAATGTTTATTTTATTTCAAGTAGTAATGAGAAAGTTTTGATAACACTTAACAAAAAAAATTCCATTTGTTAATATTAGTTAGCATCAACTAACAATGAAAAATACTATTAATTCAATATTTACTAATACATTATTAAAATCAAAAGATGTATCGATTAATATCTAACATGAATAACTTCAAGATGAATAAATACTGTAATAAATGTATTGCTCATTGTTTGTTGATGCACTAACGTGAAGTAATGAGACCCAGTGTTCCCAAAGTTCTTGATGGTTTTAGTTTAGTTAACGATGATAACCGGCCCTAAACACACTCTGATCTGTAGGTGGCGCTCTTGCTCTCACCTGGTTTGAGTCCAGCGTCCGCTTTGGGAGATTTCTCTTCGTCCAGCACACGAATGTCTTTCCGCAAAACTGTGTAACTGCGAGACAAAATAAAACGCAGTTAGCAGAGCTTCATACGTATGAGAGAAAACATAATAAACCACCATCTTTAAGTCAATTACTGATCATAATTCAACACACTGCCGTATGAAACGGCATTCTGATTTTAAAAATCATTATGGTTGCCATTCATTATCGATTACAATTTTTTTTATTTAATTAATTGCATTACACGCACTGCAAAAACATGAACGTGGGACGTTAAGCATTTATTCCCGACATCCATCAAATCAGCGTCATCATTAAAAATGCACAAAATTGATGATAAAACCTTTATCGTGAGAAAAACTGTGATTATGTAAATCACACAACAGGCCATTTCTCAGAGCCAGAATATTGTATAGACACGAGCAACTGTATACACTGAAAAAATATTTTGTGTATAAACAATTATCACTCAGAAATTGCAAGTAAATTTCACAAATTGTTTCAAAGAAGCAGCAAGTAACATTGAATAAAACATGAAATGTTGATGTAGAAGGACTGAAATAGTATTTTTATGGAAAACATACTCTAAAAATCTTTGTTTTAGTGTACAGTGTAGGAACATGAACCAGGCATGTCCTTTAGAAAGTATTTGGACACCTTAAAATCCCAGTGAACTGTCCCTCATTAGATCACGAGTCTGTATCTGTGCTCAAATGTTTAGGATTAGGGATTTAGGGATTTTTAGTGGATGTATGAAGTCACTTTCTCATGTTCACACAGGAGTGTCCAAAAACCTTCTGAAACTGCTTATATTGAGGGAATTAAGAGGTCTTTAACGGTTAGAAGACATGTTTATGTTCATCGATATTTATAAATCTACATGTGGCAGTGATGTCATTACTTTCCCAGAGCAGACACTAGAGGGAGCAGTGAAGATGTGCAACACAAGAGCAGACCGAAATCATCAGAATAACTTCCCCTCCCTCTCGCAGTGTCTCTTCTCTTCTCTGATGAAGAGGGCGGAGCCACCTGTCACTCACATCTGATCCACCAATAGCAAACCACAACCATCCAAGCCCCGCCTTACATTTGTTCTTGTTTCAGAAGCGTTTTACTCGGATATACGTCACAATGGGAAAGAAAAGACTAGCGCAACTGTTTCATGCTGACTAAACTTTGGCATATAAAACACGCATATAACACACACACACACACACACACACACTTGAATGAGGGACTCAAATCATAGGCTGTGTCAGAAATCGCCCCCTTAAATACGGCACTATTTGAAGGAATAGCCATTTGCACGGGGTGTCCGAAATCATAGTGGACGTTATCGAGTGCGCTCATTCAATCCCACAATGCACCGCAATAATGAGTGTACAACCGATGTACGCTCAACGGCTAGAGAATACCCATAATGCACTGTGAGAGTCGCGCGACGAATGACCAGAAGATGGCAAATCATCCATTTTCCAAACCGCTGGTCCAATGTGGGTACAGTGTAATATCATACCAGTAAAAATTCCTTTTAAAATGTATTACTGAATTGTTTATGAATGTACATACCTAGTTTCCATGACAGAGTTCAAGATAAATCTTTCCATCTTACAACTGGAGCTGCCAGTTTGCTCCATTACAAATGATTATTAACCAGCAAGTAGAAACTATGTAAAAACGGCACTCGGTGTCCAAATTCACTATACTATGTATATTTATTATATACTATATCAGTGGACTAATGTAGGGAATAGTGAATGAGGATATAGAAACTAGAGGATATAGAATATAAATAATATCACAGAAACTAAAAGGGTGATTTTGTTTTGATTTGAGATCGTAACCAGCCGAAAAACCAATCAAAACACTAGGAACATCCTGGCAATTTAGAGTTTGTTGTCTGTCTATTGAAGAATAACATTAGAAACAGAGTTTTGTGTATTTTAGAGAATCATCAGGAAACTCTGGTCTGTATAATCGCAGCACTCACAGGTTTTATTTCCCTGAGGTTTAACACAAATATCTCCATAACCAGACATTTCTCAGCACAGCGCTTGAATAAGACCAATTCTGTCGTTCCACCTTCAGCAGCGGCAGTATAAATTGGTTTCGGAAGGTTAACCCGAGACGGGCATTTAACTACATTTACCCCACAGAAATATCACTGGCTCCTCCATTACATGATGCCCAGCAGTGACGTCTTCCATCATTTGCAGTATGTCTAAAGGATGTTTTATAAAATCACAGCTATAAACAGAAACAACAGCACTCGTGATGCGTTCACAGCGTGACTTTCTGCACCTCAAGAGCTAAAAGTAGAAGCACGGACTGAAATAACTTCATTTGAAAGCTACTCACAATTTTCCATCTTTGAAGGAGCGGACAAAAATGTTGTCTTTTTTCAGTGTCACATCTTCATGACAGTCTGGAGAAATGACCTTTAAAAAAATAAAGGGAAACAGAAGACAGATGAGAGTTTGGCACAGACAGCATCATTGTTGCACCAACCTGCAAAAGTGTTTTACACCTAAAGAAATGAATACTAGGCAAAATATTTCATGCAACAAAAAAGGTCCATTAATCATTATATGTAAATGTACTACCTTTCCAGTTGTTTGTAATGATTACGTTTGTAATAATTAAGACTTTTTTGCCCACCAAAAAAAAAAAAAAAAAAATGGTGAAATATTATTACAATTTAAAATAGTATGTGTATATATTGTCTATATATCTATATATTCACAAAAATACAGCCTTGGTGAGCAGAAAAACAAACAAACAAACATAATTATTCCAAATTTTAATTAAAGAGATTAAATCTGAGATTGATAAAAGCTTAGTATGAATATTTTAAGGAAAATAATATGTAATTTTAAAAATTCATTCATTTTAATGACTTTTTCAGGCCAAAAAACAAACAAAAACTTGAACATCCAAAACCCATTGGATATTGGACATACGCAATACTAATTGAAATAAGCATTTGAAAAAAGACGGATCCAGCCTTTATGTCAAACATGAGCTGAGGTTACTGTACAACACCGATCAGACGAGCAGCAGGAGCGTGTCATGGCTTCAAGAAACACCACAGACATTCTCTGGCTTTGTTTTTCTCTCTCAATGCTGTCATTCTAGCGAGAGCCGTGAGGAGGGGACAGAGAGCAAGAGCAACATCTCTGGAGGAACACGAGCCACCAGGAATATTTAAAGGGCCAGTGTTTGGTTTGCTGTGACCCTGTGAATCATAAACTACTGCATGTAAACGAGGGACAGATGTAGAAGAAATAAGAGAACGACTGCCAACATCAATGATGCCGCTCAATATAAGCAGCTTCAGAGGGAACGAGTGCATTAATCCTGGAGGAATAATCTCCAGAAACCGGCACTGTTCATCACGTTTAAAGCTGAAGTGTGACTTCCTGAAAAGGGAAATTGTTTGGATAGTTTTATCATCAGAAAATGAATTAATGTTATATAGCTCAACACTGCTAGTCTTATTGTTTGTAACTCTTGTTTTCTTGATTTACTGGGAGTAACATGTTTGAAGAGACACTATTCTGTCATGTTGCTAACATATCATAATAAGAAAGAGCTTTATTTGTAATAACAGAAATACAGACTTTTCTCTGCCACACAATATATTTTAAAATGAACTGCATGCCATTTAGCAACAGAAGTCATCCAGCTATTATTAATATGATATTCTAATATCGATCTAGTTTACGTTATCGATCTGAGCGAACACACAGATTAACGTTATAACACCTTTCAACACACTCGCATGTATTTTAGTGTGATTCCCCACAATTTTAATTCGTCAGATTTGACAAATTGACTTAATTTTTCTTCTGTGTCCTGCGGTCGAGACTCACCAGGGCAGGATACCATGTGGTTTTCTTTTTGTCGCTAGTGACGACCCCATCCACACACACCACTTTGCCGTAAAGCCCTTCGTTTTGTTGCTGATCGCCCTCCTCCTCCTCACTAGATGATGAAGATGACTCCTCTTCTTGACTGTGGAATAAGATTAGTGTTAATGTGAAATAAACAACAGACACTGAAAGGTATTCGAGGAACATTGATATCCCAGAGAAAACATATTTAAAGATTCAGAGTGAAAATCAGAAGCTCAATGCAGAGTCTGTTCTTCAAAAGCAGCAATAATAAGACTTCATAAATGTGGGTGAACGTCATTAAATCATATCCAGGTCACATTTGAACAAAATCCAAAGAAATAAAAAAATAAGACATTATATTTTGAATTCAGAAAATTACATACATTTTAGGTAAGTTAAAGGAGAACTCCGGCGCAAAATGAACCTTTGGTCTAATACACATTGTTACCTAGTCAACCGTTATCTGAGATTTGTTTTCATGATTATCGAATGTAAATAGTTTTATCTCTACAAACAGTTTAGCCTATAAAGCTAGTATAACGCTAGTATATTGGGCATAGTGTAATGACAAATAAAAATCGCTTGTTAATACCACTAACAAGGCTCAAAATATTAACAAGCGATTTTTATTTGTCATTACACTATGCCCAATATACTAGCGTTATACTAGCTTTATAGGCTAAACTGTTTGTAGAGATAAAACTATTTACATTCGATAATCATGAAAACAAATCTCAGATAACGGTTGACTAGGTAACAATGTGTAATTAGACCAAAGGTTCATTTTGCGCCGGAGTTCTCCTTGAATAAATTTGTTATTATGGCATTATGTGCACAATTAAGCAAATTTTTATGAACCCCAGAAACTATTTTTGATGCATTTTTAATCAATAATTTTTGCTAAATTTATTAAAAAGTTATGTGCTAATTTCACCTCAGCATATCATTATTTTAAGATGCATCGCAGCAATTTAAAATGAATTTTAATTAAAAGTATTAAGTATTTTTTAAAGATTAATTATTCTAACCAAGAGTAGGGATGTAGATCACATAGAAATTAATTTAAGATATAGATTATTTTTCCATTCTAGTAGGGTTGCAATGACTTTGATTAAAATAACTATAAAAAATAATAATTAATAAAAATAGTCAACAACCAATTTCATCATGAGTTAGTGTTTCAATAAGCAAGAGTCTGTTTTATTCAGACAGTAGATTCAACAGTGTGCTTTAGTTTTGTGTTTACACACTGAAGAACCGCTAACAGTGAGAACTGATCATTTAGTTACAGGCACTAACAAAGACTCAGATCAAGCTAAACATGATTAAAACGATTCCCTTTTTAAAGATAAGCATCACCTGTATCACAGCGCCATACAAGCAAAATAGAAGAAGCTTTTCCTTGCTTGTTCTGATGAAGATAATAGGTAATTAGGCTCCGTGAGCTGACAAGCTTCTCACTTGCCAATATTCATATGCAGCGTGACTCAACGGCCGCTCTCAATTAAGATCCGGCACTCCAGCTCACCGCCAAGGAGAGCCAATCTTGTTAGTGTTAAATGAGCCAATCAACAGCCTGCATCCCGAATAAACATGACCTGATAAGCCACAGGGACTCCTACTCGCTCAAACAACAAAACAAGAGCCGCGCCGGATGGAGGAGAGCGGGAAGCAGAGACAGAACTACCCGGAAAACCTACTAGTGTGCGGAGCAACTGCTGTTTTAAAATTTTTTGTTTTTACCGGAGAATACACGGTATAAAAATAAATAAAACTCGCGTGCAAATTAATTAGTGTAATGCGGAACTACTGTTAGATACGCGGGTTCTTTAGGGACACATAATCTGTACCATCGGCTTAGCTCTGAACGCGCGTTCACTTCAAACGTTGGCTTTATACGCGCGTCCTATTCGCTTTGGACTAGCGTCGAACTAGACGCGAATTTGACGCTCTATTCGCGCTTGGTGTGACCGCATAATGAACAGGCTCCGATGACAAGAGAGAGAGAGAGAGAGAGAGAGAGAGAGAGAGAGGCGTGGGCGCGATCGAACAGTGGAAACATAAAAAACATACTCTGTCATTTTGTTCATACAGATCATTAAACCTGCAAAGTGTTTACTTATATTTGTGTACACTCGCAATAAAACACAACATTGTGCTTTTGTCACACTGTAAACTCTTGTCAAACTGTAACCTACAACTGTCACCCAACCAAAATCACACACACACACTGTTTTAAAAGCAAAACATATTTATCCAACTCAATTTCAAAACAGTCTGTGGGTCCCATCTTTTGGACATTCATCGCATTGGTTTTTATTTCTCGTCCTCGGAGCACTAATCTTACACATTCTACATTGATTAAAAAAGAAAATCGAATGTGTTTTTAATGGTAGTATTATTTTATACAGAAATCAATTATTTTTAATACAGATGAGAATAATGTTACATTGTTAATTAATAATGTTAATTAAAATTAAGGAAAACAAATATTTTGATCTGAAATATAGCAAATTATTTTAAATTAATTCAGGTACAATTACCAAACTAGTCTTTTTATTAATTTACTTAATTAACTAATTATATAAAACTATTGTCAGTGCACTACAAATAAACTGGTTCTATGCCTTTAATAATAAAACTTATTTAAAAAATACAATGCCTTCTGCATTTTTGTTTTGCTTTTCCCTCCATTGTACCGAAATCGTACCGAACCGTGATGTCTGAACCGAGGTATGAACCGAACCGTGATGTCTGAACCGAGGTATGAACCGAACCGTGATGTCTGAACCAAACCGAGACGTCTGTGTACCGTTACACCCCTAGTATTAACCTAAAACAATGTTTAGATTTATGCTTCAAAAAACTGTAAAATTATAATTACCGTATTTTTTTTATAAGTCGCACTTTTTAATAAGTCACAAGAAGCGACACTGAGGATGAAGAATTCAATGTATTCAGAGATGTGGAATGAGATCGAGAGCTTGGTGAACTTGCTTACCGGTAAGTTGCTTGTTGGACTCGCTGGCTTATGTTAATTTATCCTATTCAGCCTCCATCCCAGGAACATGTTCTTTATACTATTGTGTAGCTGAATAACTGTTAATGTGTTACGGTAACATCCCCGACACCTATTCAGCCTGTTGTTCTGTGTGCTGTTGTGTAGCTGAATAACTTGCCTTTCCAGATTAAATGTCTGTTCTTGGTCTTGGATTTTGTGAAATAAATTTCTAAATAAATGCGACTTATAGTCCAGTGCCACTTATATATAGGGCTGGGTACCGAGTTCGGTACTTTTTAGGTACCGACCGAATTGCCTCGATACTACCGAGTATCGAAACATGTCTTGTTTTTCGGTACCACATTTCGGTACCTAAGTGGTTAATCTCGTCAATGTCAGTGAAACAATAAGCATGCAGCATGATTGGCTGTGGCGGAAAAACACTAGTTTACGCGGCTGCCCAGAGACGCGGCTCGTCGCACGTGAAGCTGCAGTGTGTGTGTGTGTGTGTGTGTGTAAGCGTGCGTCCCAACCCAGATAGATAGAAAATATGTGGAAATGATCCAAAGTGTACCTATGTCATGTGCCAGACTCGATGCCAGATGCACGCGATGCAATATTTTCGACAAGATCATTGCTGCCAAGACCGGCAACACGGTAAATCTAGGCACTGAAGCGCACAAAATACACTTGAGAGTAATGGTGTTCACATCGAACGCGAATAGAGCGTCAAATACGCGTCTATCGCGTCTAGTTCGACGCTTGAATCTTCAGCTCGAGTTCAAATGTTTCAACTTGCGCGGAAGACGTTCGCGGCAAACGCGTCACCCAATTCGCGTCATTCGCGACGCCCGGCGCGAATGATGCGTCTATTCGCGTCTTTGCATTGACTATGTATGTAATCTACTCGCACAAATAATTAAATTCGCGTTCGGTGTGAACACACCATTAGTAAACACTTGTTCATTAATAAATAATTAAAATATCTCCTTGCTATTGTTTCCACATCCATAATCATTAGGCTACTTTTGCCAGTGCTTTGCTGCAAGCTTCACGTGCAGGTATATATCCCGCCCCCCAGTAGCCTATATTTAATTTAATTCACATTTATTTGTATAGCATTTTTCACAATACATATCGTTTCAAAGCAGCTTTACAGAAAATGCATGTCTAAATTACAATTTAGAGTGATCTGTTATCAGAGGTGACAGTGTAATGCATTTCAATTAATTTTCATTCAGTTTCATCGTTAATTAATGCATTAAGTTAAAGCAGAAACAATGAGCTCATTGAAGTAAGTAATACATTTTGTTAAATGATTAGGAAACATAGAAAACTTTAGCATTGGTGCTTTTTTACATACTCAAAATATGAGTGTAAAAAAAGTCAACAAACTGAAAAAAAAATTAGGTAATGTTATATTGTTAAACCTGGTTACATAAAATTGGTATCGAAAAAAGTATCGTTCAGGAACCGGTATCGAAGTCAAGGTATCGGTATCGGTATCGGTACCGAACATTTTGTTACGATACCCAGCCCTACTTATATATGTTGTTTTCCTCTTCATGACGCATTTTTTGACTGATGCGACTTACACTCCGGAGTGACTTATAGTCCGGGTAATACGGTAATTCGATGATTAACTCTTTACTCGCCAGTGTTTTGCTTTAAGTTGCCAGCCACCGCCAGCATTTTTTAAAAATCATTTTCACAAAAGTTTCATGGCCTTTCTGCAATTAATACATTGTGCAATTTTGCTTCAAGCAGTGTTGTTATTGTTACCTAAAATTAAAACTATTAAAAATCATTTTCTGTGACTGAAATATGGGTGAAATAAAAGAAAAAGAAAATGTTTTACATGAAAAACTTAAACATAAAAAAACTTAAAGATAAGAACTAAAATAAATAAGTTTTAGTTGAATTACTAAAACTCAAATCAATTAAAAGTTATGGAATTTTTTTTTTAAATCACAACAAAATTACTAAAATATATATAATTTTTTATATATATAAAATATTTTTAATATATATAAAATTATATAAATTTCTAATTTATATATAAAATGAAAACCAAAAAAAAAAAAAAAAAAACTAAAGATCTTGCTCATCTTGATATTTCTACTGGGAAAAAAGCAAGTATGATATTTTTGTGTCATGCTCCATGAGTACTCTAATGCAGTAGTTGACTAGTCAATGCAACCCTTAACATTATGATGGATTCTGATCCCTCAAAGCGACTGCGGTTTCTTTAAGTTCACGCATGGCCAGCCGTGACTGACGGAGATAACTGAGGTCACGCCTCTCACCGAGACACACACACACGAGTCCTGTTTGTCAGAGCGCCAGCGGGACGCTCCGGTTCGAGACGAACGCGGTTCACTGGAGGAAAGATACTGCCTTTCCTCTGATTTGTGTCAGGCCAGCGCTCGTCCCATTTGTGCGACTGCTAAAAGAAGAGGAGTATTTTACAACAGCAAACACTGTGTAATCGGTATTCCCAGAAGGGAACTCCGCGTCCCTGGAGCATCAGGACTAAAACACACAGATGCTTCATCCGTCAGGTGAGGATTAGACTTTGAATCGATGTAGATTTTCAGTTTGGTGCCAGACTTGTGGACCGTCCCGTCAGCACAGTTCAGAGGTGAAATGGATTGCAAATGGCGTTTCATGTTGATGACTTTAAAGTGCCACTATTATGCTATTTTAAAGGTCCCTAATTTTGTTTTGGAGGTTCCTACAACAGGTTTACATGATCAAAAAACATAAAATTCTCTCATAATATCCATGGCAGCATCAGCTCTTCTCTCTCAGTCTCTGAAACGGCTCGATAAAGGATTCAGTCTCTCTAAACCCCTCCTTTCTGAGAGCCTGCTCTGCTCTGATTGGTCAGATGGTCTGTTGTGATTGGTCGACCGCTTACAGCGCGTGTCAGAAACAAAACTCCTATTACCATCTTCCTCAGCACTTGATACAATTCTGTATCAAGTGATACAAACAGTAACAATGGTGTCGGTTTTACCGTATCAATCTGTGTTGATGCATCAAAGTGGATCTGCAGAATCACAACACAAACCAAACTCTTCCAGTCTCAGCTACAACCACAGTGACTGAGGGCGGGGAAAAGTAGACCGGACACTGGCATTATGCACATTTGTTACAAACCTACATAGATTCGAGCAGGAAGTGAGACTGGAATTACTGACGACTCGTTTCAGCAGTTCAGAATCGCTTCTTTCTTTTAGGAGACTTAAAAAAAAAAAAACGAAAAAATAACTTTTTCATGCACTTTGATCTTTGAAACTTCGCAGAGCTTTTACCTTCACAAACAGCTATTTTACTACATGAAAAATAATATCCAAATAATCATAATAATAATTTAGCTAAAAAGATATGCAACTTAGCTTTAAAAAAAAAGTAAAAATCCTTAAAGTCAACATGAAATGTCATTTGCAACCCATTTCGCTTCTGAAATATGACGTACGGGAGGGTCAACAAGTCTGACACCAAACTGATTGATTTAAAGTCTAATTAAAACGCGGAAATAAAGGCAGTGGATTTTGATTTCATAATGACAAAAAAAAAAAATTCACATTCGGTGATATCAATTTGAATGTACTAACTTTGGGGAAGCTGAACTGAATAATAACACAACATCTTATAATTATAATTGAAGAACTTTGCAACACTGACACTGTTATTAAACTAAATTGAATTAACATTAAATATTGTCTCATGAAGAGCTGCGTATAGCAGAGACTAAAGTCATTTCTTAATTGATGAATGTTGCAACACTGCTATTATACCGGTTTATTACCGTGAAGCTGCATTGAAACGATCTGAATTGCATAAAGCGCTACAGAAGTAAAGGCGACTCGACTAAAAACGCAGTGAACGCATGCAGACGCCTCTTCATGTTGTCACGTAACTTCAAGTAGACGCACTCACATGGGATTGGACCGCCGGCCTCCGCGGTTTCCTTTTTTGCCGATGACGGGAGTGCCGAAGTGTTCGGGGTTGGTAAGAGGAAGCCTGTCGAGCGTCTGGAAGAGAGTCAGAGATGAGATTCACCAGTTAGCGCTAAGAAAGCCGCGATTCTCTTTAAACCGTTGCTCTGCCATGACAATCGATTCATCAAACTGGCTGAAGAAAATGACATTATGGAAGACGATAACATATAAACACACTTTCTTTATTTATATAGCACTGCTAAATACAACCGAGGTTGTCCAAAGTGCTTTACATGAAAATAAAAAGAATAAAAGATAACATGCATATTAACAAATCTCACACCACATTGAGATTACCTGTTATAAGCGGCCGATAAAACATGCGCCTTGAGCAAGTTCCTGAATACTGATAAAGATTGACCAGATCTAATACATAGAGGTTCACTTGTGTGCCTAGAAGTGTTTACATTCACATACTTGGGTAGAATATGTTTCTAAACAACTGACAGTCTGTTTGAAATCATTGACTAGCAAACACTGAGACGTGACACAGTTTCTAATAATCACCCGGGAATGAAACGCCTCAGACTCGACACAGTTCTGGGTCATTTCTACTATGCAGAAGATTTTCATGTCCCCATAATATACTGGATTAGAAGTTAAACTCACCATTTTTATAAAAGGTAATCATATTAGTGAACACAATAAATCATTACTTACTACTTCAGTTTGAGCAGATGTTGCAATGAGAATGCCAAATTTGCAATGAAAAACTCACTTTTTGGAGAAATATTGCAGGAGTAATTTTTTCCTTCTAATCGGAATGTTTCAAACTAAACATGTTTTCTTTGGAATATGGTTTTAATTAATAATCAATTCATAGGTTTTTCCAACATGTCCTCAAGTTCTCTTTCAAAACACTGGATCTGAGAGTCTGTACTTTTTAAATAGGTTAGCTATGAGTAGGTTTATTTAGGTTATATGCTTACATAGATTATATAGGTGTATGTAGATTTATACAGGTTATACGTTTGACATTTTGTTCCCATATTGCTGAATGACAAATTAAAGCTCACTTGATCTTGAATGTCTGTAGAAATACCCTTTCAATTTCAACAAAATGTAATTAATTTGTAAAATTACACTGTCAAGAACAGGATGTGATGCGAAAGGCAGCAAGTGTCACGATGTAAAGGACTTAACTAGTCATTTAAACCAATGCAAAAAAGAGAGCGATGACTTGCCTCACTCTCAGCGAAGTGGCGCGCTCCTTTCAGGCAGAGAGACGAGCGCCTGAGGGTCTTCTCATCACCGTCATCAAACACTGCACAGAGAGACAGACGAGTTATCAGACAGACACACACACTCTAGAATCTTTTTGAACAGGACCTACTATGCCCTCTTTCAAAGTCTTGATTGTGTTTTTAGTAGGGCTGCACAATTAATCGCAATGAAACCGCAGGCGATTTGGCAAAGCCTGCGATTATTTTATGCGCAGCTTGTCAGTGCAAATCAGCTGAACTCCAGAGGGCATCTCACACACACACACACACACACACACGCCAAATCAGCTGAACACCAGAGGGCGTCTCACACACACACACACACACACACAC